CAAATTCTGAACTTTTCTCTAAATGTTCTATCAACTAAATAGAAATCCAGTCTATCTGCTAGCGTTTATCATCATCACGACACTGACTGGGTTAACTCATTCAGTAGCCCCGAAAAGAGCCATTTCCTTACAACCAGAAAGGACCCTGTATGATGACTTCTGGAGCCCGCAGCAAATACCCGCTGTGAAAACAGTGTCAAAGGGACTGGGGATGTAGCTCAGTGGCACAGCGCCTGCCTGGCCAGCGCGAGGTCCTGAGTTTGATTCCTGGTACAAAAAAAAAAAAAAACCAGTGATGGCAGCCAGAGAGATGCTAAGCACAGCAGCTAGGACTTGTCTCCCAGCGCCACAAGCTTAGTCCACACCATACCCCTGCCCATCTTCACAGTCCCAGACAGCACCAAGCACACAGCCTTGTCTTCAGTGTGAGCGGAGTTGGAGGAGCAAAGGCCAAGGAGCTGCTTCTGGCCACAGAGCTGGTCAGCACCAGGCCTGGGTCCCCTGAAATCCCAGCCTCACTTATCCTCTCTGCGGTCTGTGGCGCTTACTATTTCTGATGTTACAACCCTGACTGCTGATCACCACAAGGAACATCGCTACCTTGAAATCCCAAGATCCATTTCCCAGGCTGAGGCCTGAGGGAGCCAAAAAGCTAGGGAGAAAGCTGGTGACTTGCAGGATATTTGGTGTTTAAACCACTCTTGGATCTAAGTGGATTTTTTTTTCCTCATTTACTCCCGGTTCCCAACGTTTCCCCACTTAGCTAATCAGCCACAGCTGGGAATGGACAGGGCAGCAGAAATAGGGGCCGGGGTATGGCAGGCTCTGGCGGGCCAGCCAGGCCAGGAGGGAACACGACTGTTTATTTGGAATGGCTGTGCCTCGCCTCCTGGGGAGTTCAAGCGGTCAGATGTGTCTAAGTCCATTAGCGAAATCTTACAGGGACGTCACTGTGCTTGTGAAGAGGGCCATAGTGACATCCTCATGCCCGACAGGCATGGCCACCGATCACTGCTAGAGGAGGGCAGGGGTGAGAGGTCAGGAGAGCCAAGCCTCAGGGGCTTCTGAAATAGGTATCTACATCAGAGAGGCTCCACAGGGCACAACCAGCGTGCTCACAAGGCTGCCCAGGAGACAGCTCCTGGGTCCTAGTGAAGGAGAGGAAACGCTACCAGCCTGTCTCCTTGGGACACAGCCTGGTGTCTGGAGTGGGACACATGCCTTCAAATCTTGGCTTTCTTGCCATGTGGTTGTTTTGTGTCCTAAGCTCAAGCCTGTGAAGCCTCTGCATGCTAAAGCGGTGCTAGAAGCTGGGGTGACTCCTCCCTAGACAGCCAAAGCCCACTCCCAGGATCGTAAGGACAAGGCTTCTTCTGATTCCAGTCCTTCCCATCCAAAAGCTGTATGTGTTTCCTAAGGCTGCCTAACAACTTGCTACAAACTTGATAACTCCCAACAGAAACTTCTTCCCAAGCTTTGAAGCCAGAATCCAAACCCACTCGTGGGCAAGGCTGGTCCCATTGGGTCTCTGAGGGAGGATCAGCTCCATGCCTCAACTCCTGGTTTCTGGTGGCAGCACTGCCTCTCTTGGCTTGAGGGTCCAGGACGTTATCCTCTGCCCAGGTGTGAACTTCTCTCTCTGAGAATCACTGTCTCTTCTTCCTCTTACAAAGACAGGTATCAGTGGGTTCAGAGCCTGCCTCAGGAGCTCATCTTGAGGTCCTTACCTTAGTCATATCTGCAAAAGATCTTTATCCCAAAAATGTCACATTCTGAGGTTCTGCATGGACATTTCTTTTAGAAGACACAATTCAATTCAATGCACTACAGTTTACCCTCTGATTCCTAGACTTCACATCCATCCCAAATGCAAAAGAAACACGCATCCCATTCAACATTTCCAAAATCTCACCTATTACGGCATTAACTATGTCCAAAATCTCATCTAAAGAGTAGTTCAGAGAAGTCTCTAATCTCGTCACTTAAATCACCTAACTAGGCCTGGGTGCTGCCTATCCTCTATCCTGGGGCAAAATGCCTCTCCATCTGTGCACCTAGAAATCAAGTCATCTACTTCCAAACTACAATGCTGAGATAGGCAGACATTCCATTCCAAGAGAAAGAGAGTGAAGAAATACAGGGGTCATGGGTCCCAAGCAAGTTTAGAGCACAGGAGGGTGAAATTCAATTCGGTTTAAGATCTGGGACTGACCCTCTGTGGATTGACTCTCTTCCCTCTGGGCAAACAGAGGCTCTGGCTCCACAGGCCCTGGCTCCACAGGCCCTGGCCCCTGGATTCATTCTCTGGCCTCCGCTAATAGGTCTAGGGCGCCATGTAGGCTCACCGTGTGTGTGTGTGTGTGTGTGTGTGTGTGTGTGTGTGTGTGTGTGTGTGTGTGTGGTGGGGGCGGTACTGGGGATGGAACTCAGGGCCTTTACACTGAGCTGTATCTCCAGCCCTTTTTTAAAATTTTATTATGAGATAGGCTCTCCTGAAGTTGCCCGGACTGGGCTCAAACTTGTAATTCTCAATGGCAAAGGCTTTGTCTTGTGCGTCCTTTGCAACAGGACAGGCTGTGAACCCCCCTGCAAATCTTCAAGTGCTAGTTCTTTTTTGCTACTAATTCCTCTCTCAAACAATTCCTTTCCCCTTGCATTCTGCTATAAGAAGCAAAGGAGAAGTAAGGCTGCATCTTCCACACTTCGCTTGGCAAACTCCTTGGCTAAATATCCAAGTGTGCCCCTTACAGCTCCTGCTTTGCTTGACCATTAAATCGGTGGACCAGACAGTAGTGGATGCCAAGAAGGCTGCACAGTTGGCTGGGGTAAAACAGCAAGAAGGGATGAAATTTGTATCGGCCAAGCACTTGCTATGCATGCAGGATCAGTAACCAGGAGCTAAAAAGCACATGCCACCTTTATACGGATGCCAAGGGCAGCCCCCAAGCTCAGCACACATCCCCTCAGACACACCTGCCTGCTCACCCCACACCGTCTGCCTCAGGCCTGCCTGAGCTCTCCTCACACCACTGCAGCCACTGTCCCTCCATCCAAGACCTCTTCCTCCCTCGAGTCTCTGGTGCCCCAGTTCAGTCTACCTGAGCCCCTCTGACACCCTCTCCCGCTCCCAGCTCCACTCCCAGGCTGCCCTGGGTTGCCCAGAGGACAAAGGATGCTGGGTCAGGGTGGCCCCTAGAGGTCTGCTAAAGGAACACAGGGACTGTTAGGAAATTTAGCACTGATCTGTTTTCAGTTCCAACTAAGAATCATCACACACTCACAACTGTAATCTTATTTCTGTTAAACATAAATTTAGTTTATTTTCATGGTTTTATGCTTTATTTTCTAAGATTTACAGGTTTAGCTCTGGGCTTAAAGTGATTTATGTGGTCTTTTCCCTGAGTCTTCAGAGAGGGATCTAAGATGGCATAGAGGAGGGGTTATTACCAAGCGTAGGACAGGGCAGGGCCTAACACTGGGGAAGGGCAGAGCCTTGCCACCCACTCCTCCTGCCACACCCACCGGACTGTGAAACCTGGTTCAAGGAGTTTTTTTTCTTTTTCTAGTTGATTCTCCCTTGTCAGGAGATTCCCCTTCCACCTCTAGCCCCTACAGGAGGGAAAATAGCCACAGCACTGTCAAGTGAAGGGGGAGCCTGAGACTTCCTTCATGGGAGGGAGCCCTCTTCTTTCCTGTCCTCCAACACATGTCCCTGCCCTAGGTCCACACACAAGGCTTGGCAGCCACAGCCCTCTCTCCTTCCCTTGCTCTGCGCAGGTGCTGCTATCACGGTCTTCCTGCTCCAATGCACAGTTCATTTTCTGTGCCTGCTTGGCTAGGCCACTTTGCCTATGTGTTCAGATATTATCCTGAGGGTTTCAGTGCATGTTTTTTGTGTGAGGTTCCCATTCAAATCGGTGGACTCTGAACACAGCACACCCTCCCCAAAGAGGAAGGAATCAGCCAGGAGGTCATGTTCCAACTGCACCTCCACCAGCACCTCCAGATTCTCACCCTACCATGCCAATTTCAGACCTGCCAGGTTCCCCAACCATGAGAGCCAATTCTATAAAGCACACATCTTTCCACACAGCTATACCTGTGGACCACTGGGGAGCCTGGCCAGGGTTCTCAGCATGCAAATATGGAGGTTATCTCTAGATCTCTATACTGAGAGCCCTGTGTTTCCCACTGGTCCTTTCTCCAGACAATCTGCCTTGGCCCAGCACCCCAGGCAGCCACTCCAACCAGCAGCCACGCTTGGCTCAGCTCCTGGCAAATCCTTGTCCCCACCTTTTCCTTCTGAAGGGGGAGGGGATGGGAGGGAGAGCTACTTCTTCCTTGACCTGTAAAATGCACCTGTAAGAAAAACCTTCTGCAGAGCAGCCCTTCAAGGCCTTTTAAGTGAGGGCCAAGCTACAGCACAGGCAACAGTGAGACCCTAGACGTCCATCCTCCCCTGGGCTTAAGGGGATGGTGTGGTGTCTGCCACAGGTGCAGGGAGTAAGGAATGATCTGAATTTCTCCCTCAGTGAATGATGCTGAGAGCCACCAAATCAAGCTGTGTTTGACTTTTCAACCCTTGTGGTTAAGAAAAAGGGACCCAGAAATAACCTCATGCATGTGTCCATCCTGCCACTCGGGGGGAGGGTGTCCTCTGGGGCTCCGTGTTGCCTGTGTGACTTCAAGACCACCTCACTTTCTGGGGCTTCAGTGTCTTACCCAAGTAAAGAAACCTACTCAGAACTCTCCCGGGACACTGCCATACAGATGCACGGTTAGACAGCTCGGAAGGCGAGGGATCGTGGGGCCAGCTGGGGCGGGGAGCCCAAGGGTGGGGCAGTGGAGCGAGGACAGAGCAGGGCAGAGAGGCTGGCAGGGCCCTGGCCAGCCCTGGGGTGCAAGGGTAGCTTTGGCAGCTCAGCAGTGCAGACGGCAAAGGGACTGTCCACTCCTTTGCAGCAAGAGAGGGAGGCAGAAAGGAAGGACATCAGACTGACCTTGAGGGCAGGAATCTCCACGCTGTCGCCGAGGCTGATGGAGCCCGAAAGGATGGTCCCAGTCATCACCGTGCCTTGGCCCTTGATGGAGAAACAGTGGTCCACAGACATGAGGAAGGGGCCCGAGGGGTCTCTTGTCGGGATGGAAATCTGGGACTTCAGGAGCTAGAAGAGAAAAGCTGCTGCCACAGACAGTCGGGCGAGGGGCGGAGGGGGTAGAGGTGTGGTCGTGTGGCCAGACGGCATGCACCAAGGCCGCTAAGGCGAGGCCTGGCTGGAGGACTGTGCACTGCAAGCTGGCCAGAGCTAGCAGCCCATCCCCAACTGCATTCCAAGCTTCTGCTGGGCTCCTGCTCCCTGTGCTCCGCCGCCCCAGCCCTCCTAACGGCACTCCTGCGAAGTCTCCACAGCAGCAAAGACTGTTGTCATGGCGGCTCCTGAGGCCTGCAGCACCTCAGGTCCCACAGCACCCAGTCCCGGCACACCATCCCCCACCCTGGCCCCACCACAGGCTGCAACCTTGGCAGCTGCCCCCTCCCTCTCTGGAAAGCTGTTCCTGCACAGCCACACCCCGCCCCCAATCACCACAGCTAGAGCACTAGTGTGCTCACCTCTCTATCTGCCTCCCTTGAGGATTCTGTTTCCCTGGTAGCTGCACCGAAAAGAGGAAAGGGCAAGTGAAGGAAGGACACACGGATGCGAGGAAGGAGGTGGGAAGGTGGCTCCCAGGGGTGCTGCCTGGGCCTGAGGGTCCAGGGCAAGAGCTGTGCAGGGTGACCTGGAGCCTTCTCGCCACTTCCTGGGTCCCAGCAGAGACAGAGTGGTGGTCCTGTGTCCCCACGGCCCTGTTCCCCTTTTTTCCTCTCCCCACTGACTTCCCACACACCTCAGCTCTCCTCGGCATCTACGTGCTCCAAGATGTTGCTAGAGCTGATTACCATTACACAAGTGAACACAAACATCTCGTTAGGACTTCCCTTGTGCTGCTTTCTGATTTCATATGGAACAGGCTGTCAAAAAAGTATTGGGGAGTGAGTGTGCCAGTTCCAGTCTTGTAATAACAATCCTTTTGGAAAACGACTGGAGCTCCCACGCAAGCTGGGCTTGAGGCGGGGCAGAGGCCTCTTAAAGGAAAGGACAACATCATTCAGAGGCACACTCTTCTGGATTTTGCTTGTATAAAGACAACAGTCCCCAGCTCCCACACAAGGGTGCTCTGGAGCCGAGGAAGAGGTGACAGAAGCCTCATCAGAAAACATCTGGTTTGCACGGCAGGCTGGATCAGTTCTGTGTGCATCACAGAGGCCACACCTGAGCTCAGGTCTGTGGGTCCAGGTTGAAGAGGACCATGAAGCTGACCCTGACAATCAGCCTTCATGGTGTGCGAGCTGGGCCAGGCCACCGAGCCTGTCTGTCTCAGGTGCTTCCCTGGTGAGGACAGGACGAACTGTTCAGGTCCTCCAGGGTGACTGCGGATATTTGCGATCACTGACTCAGTCTCTGCCACAGCAACACGGGCAACCCATTTAACCCTCCCCATACGCCCCAAGGGCCAGTGCTTCTGTCTTCCCTCCTTTACCACTGAGGACTCAGAGGCAAAGGAGGCAGACCCTTTGCCTGTGCTCACAGAGACAGCAGGTGGTGGGCCAAGCTGGAACGCAGTGCCAGGCACCCAGGCACCCAGGCACCCCTGCCCCTCTGAGCGCTCACGGAGGAGCTCCGTCGGCCCCACCCTCACTGCCATCCTCTTAGGTACCCACCAGCACCCCACACGCCCGTCCTGCTGGCTGCCTTGGGCACTGCATCCCCCGTTGCAGCCACGTCTGGGAGAAAAGTCTGGGCCTCACCAGAGAGGCTGGCACAATCTGTGGGCAGGAATGGGGGACCTGGGCCTTGGGCTCCAGTGCTGGGCATTCATTCATCTGGGTGGAGGCAGTGACAAGAAGGAAAAAGTGCGACACAGGAGGGTGCGTCCTCCTCAGAGCCTTGGGCTGTGAGGCTTGAGGGTTCTCAGTCTTGGCTACTCTTTCTGTGGGAGGTGAGGTCTTTGGCCCTTCCCATGAGCAGGGAAGTGAAGGGAGCCAGCCAGGGCTCTCTAGGGGGCTGCCCCTCCCCTCCCTCAGGACAGGACAGTCACAGAAGCCCACCGGAGCAGGCTGCGCTTAGGGTGACCTGGATTCAAGCGGACAGTACCTCAATGAGCTCTGAGATTCCCTGTGGGGCTTCAGTTTCAGGGGCCTCTGGTCCCCCAGGTTTGGCCGCTACAGGTATAATTGGAGCACCCCGGAACCTGCAAAAGGAAAACAAGCACCATCACCATTACAGAGCACCAGCACGGCACACAGCACATCTGTGCAGCCTCTATAAGCCACTAGGCAGGACTTGCCTCTGTCCTTCCACTGCACCAAGCCCATGTGAAGGTGGCACCACTGTCCTCACATTCAGCAGAGGAGGACATGGAGTCCCAAGGAGAGGCCTGCCACTGGGACACTAGAATCTAAGAAGGCTTCTAGGTCTTAAACTCCACCTCAGAGCTCTCTCGAGAAAGCAGCAGTGCCTGGTGCCAGCAAGCCCCATAGATGCACTCAGAAGGCCTCCAATATGGTATCTAATGGCAGCACCCAGCCTCTCCAAGGAGAGATTCTAATCAGGAGGGCAACATTTCCACTTCAAAACACAGCACAATAGTAACACTGTTAAGAAAAAAGGACAAGAGGAAAAAAAAACTCCATAATTATATCACTGTGGTTCTCCCATGTGGTACCAAGGGATTTTTTTCCCCTATCTTCCTATTTTTTGATACTTTATATGAAATATTTCACGTGCTGCTCCTCATAGAACTACAAACAACAATCCTAAAATTTATATGAAGCCAGAAGAGGCCTAGAATTGCTAAAGCAATCCTGCAACAGAGCAATGCAAGAGGCCACAGTCCCAGTGTTCAAGTTATATTACAAAAGCTACAGTGATAACAACTGCATGGCACTGACACAAAGGCAGATGCTGGATCAATGGGACAGAACAGAGGATCCAGAAAAACCTCAGGCACATTCAGCTATCTGATCTTTGACAAAGAGGCCAAAACATACACTGGAGGAAAGATGGCCTCTTTAATAAATGGTGCTGGGAAAACTGACTATCCACAGGCAGAGGACTGAATCTAGACCCATATCTCACACCATGTACTAAACTAAAATCAAAATGGGTCAAAGATCTAAATGTTAAAACTGAAACTTAACCCGCTGGAAGATAAAATAGGTAAAAATCTTGAAGATATAGCTATAGGCAAGGACTTTCTGAACAGAACACCAATAGCACAAGAAATAACATCAAGAATCAACAAATGGGGTCACACTGAGTTAAAAATCTTCTGCACAGTAAACGAAACAAGCAACAGAGTGAAGAGACAACCTACAGAACAGAAAAAAATTTTGCTAGCTATTCCTTAGAGGTCTAACATCTAGAATATATAAAGAACTCAAAAACAGACATTTGTCAAAAGAAGTTCAAATAGCCAGTAAGCACATGAAAAACTGTTCAACATCTCTCTGGCCACTAGAGAAATATAAATTAAAACAATACTGAGATTCTATCATTCTTCTGAAAGAATGCCTATCATCAAGAAATCAAGTAATAACAAATACTGGAGAAGCTGCAGGGAAAAAAGAAACCTTCTGTCTTACTGGTGGGAATGTAAACTAGTACAACCACTATGGAAATCAGTATGGAGATTCCTCAAAAAACTGAAACTAGAAATTCCATTTGACCCAGCTATTGTCCTTCTAGGTATCCTTCCAGAAGAGTTAAAGACATCACATTACAGGGACCCATGCATACCCATGTTTACAGCAGCACATCTCATAACATCTGAATACTGGAAGTGGCTTATAGGTCTATCAGCAATGAATGGATAAAGAAAATGTGGTATTTACGCACAGTACAGTACTGCCATTAAGAAGGATAAACTTGAGTCATCTGTAGGAAAATAGATGCACCTTGAGACCACAATGTTAAGTAAAATAAATCAGACATACGAGCTTCAATACTGCACGTATAAATATAAGTATAAATAAAAGTACAAGTAAAGAAAGAACAAAATAGAAGATTGATAGTAGGAAATAGGGAGATAGATGTTTTGCAAATGAGAGGGGGATAAGGAGACAGGGGGACGTGATGAAAAAAGAATCGAGATGTGTGAGATACGCCTCCACCAACTCCCCACAGGAATGCAATCATCATGTACTGTAAATGTGGACTAATAAATAATAAAAAATGAAAAAAAATTTAAATATTAAAAAAATTTTCACACACTATAGTAGGCATACATTTTCATATCCTGCCAACTTATTTACCATTGTGTCACCAAGAGTTTTCTCTTCAACGACAGTAAGGACAAAAACAGCAATTACACACTTGGCCAAGCAGAGCATGTGACACGGATTCTTTCATTTAAGCTTCACCACACCACTGTGCTGCTGTCGTCACCTTACAGAGAAAACGAGCTAGAGAGGCTAGTTAACTCGCTCCATGCTGTGGTTACAGTCCTCAGAGCCAGTTTTGAACCCAGTCCTTCTAAGTGTGGCACCAGAGCTCATAACTTCCGTGTGACACACCCTCTCCCAGGCTCCCACTTCATTGCTGACAGCTACCTAACAATGTGACCCCGAATTTCCCTCAAACTTACTTATTTACAGTATTCCACCATTTATAAATGGTAACTGATAAACATGTCAGAGACATGACTTTTTCTTTTGTCCCTTGGCTTTGGGACACGTTCATAAGACAGAACCTTAGCCTGAGCGCACAATGAAAGGTCAGCAGACATCATCGAGTGCCAACAGCCAAAAAGCCTCTCCTCCCTCAGAGATGGGAACACTGGTTAGATGGACCCTGTCAGCCTTCGCTGAACTCTGGAACTGACCAAAGACTGAGCTGCCCGCAGTGTCCCCTCGAGAGAGATGGCCAAGTCCTGGTGAGAAAAGGCAGAATCTGGGACATGTTGACATGTCATTCGCATTCTCCTCTCCAACTCTGTGATGTTCTTGAAACCCAACTGCCACAACCACAGTGAATGCAGCAGCTGCAGGCAGTGCGGGTTTGAGTTCCTTCAAAGCCCGTCCCAGAGATCTGTCACTGTTGTTCCAGCTGGGTGGCTCCCTGAAAGATCCCATCAGCAAGGCTACCTCTGTCTAACCGGCTGTGGAGTTGCCCAACAGCCTCTCCAAACAGCCTTGTCTCTGAGGAAGCACTGAGGATAATCAGAGGCAACTGTTTAACATCAAAACGGTAGAAGACAACAACTCAAGCAAACAGTAGGTTGCCCAAAAAGCTTAAATGGAAAAGCCAGGACTGAGCTGTACCTGGAGCATGTGGGAAATCATGCTGTGGCTTGCTCAGGGCCTCGCTTACCCTCTGGCTAACCTCAAGGCTCTGTGCAAGCAGGAAGTAAAGCTCAGGCAGAGCTGTCAGCTGCCTGCGTGAACACTGACAGCATGGCCCAACATGCACGTAGAGCCCCTTGACCAGGAGACACACTGTCTAGGCGTGGAGAGAGTCTCTGTCCTATTAGCTGGCCACTAACTAACCAGGCAGAGACTTCAGGGGTCTCTGACAATGAACACAGACCTCACACCATCCATTCAGAACAGTTACTAAACAAACTATAACAACAAACTATTGGCGGCAGGAGGGTCGGGGGGTGGGGGGGGGCTCTGACTTCCAGAACTGTCACATTATTTTAAATGTCCAGGTTTCAACAGAAATTTATGGCAGCTGCAAAAAAACAAGAGTATGGCCCATATTTGAGAAGAAAAAGAGTTAAAAGAAAATGTTCCTGAGGAAGCCCTACTAGACAAAGACTTTAAACCAGCTATTTTAAGTGGTTTTTCAAAAGTAAAGGAGCCAGACATGTTAGCACCAGGGAAGCTGAGGCAGGAGGATCAGTGTGAGTTTGAGGCCAGCCTGGGCTACATAGTGAGACTCTGTCTAAAAAAAAAAAAAAAAAAAAAAAAGGTAAAGAAACTTGTCTAAAGAACCACAGGATCAAATGACAGGATTTGTCTCAAAATAGAGAAAAATCAAAAAAAGAGAAATTATTTTTAAAAATACAAAACACAGAGAAATTCTAGAGTTGAAAAGTATAATAACTGAAATGAAAACTGGGACCTGGCAACAGATCTGAGGAGGAAGAATCAACAAGCTTGCAAAGAAGCTGGTAAGATAAGCCTCACAGACACAAGAGGCCATGAAGAGAACAGCACGGGCACATGGAGTTCCTGCCAGCAGTGGGAGACCACAGCCCAGTGCACCTTACATCTGGGAAAAACACTACTCTGCACATCTGCAACACTCACCAAGCTCCAAGCAGGATAAACTCATAGAGAGTCATGTCGACACACGGCATAACCTGTTGGAGGCCAAAGACAAGGAGACAATCCCAAAATATCCCAAGAAAAGTGACTGTATTTGTACACAGAGAGCCACAGTGGGAGATAGCAGCTTCTCAAGAGAAACCACAGAGGACAGAAGGTGATAGGATGGCATTTGCAAAGGCCTGAAAGTTAAAAGGAAATAAAGTCTGTCAACCAAGAAGGTCATATCCAGCAGCAAACTGCGCTTTGTGAATGGAGAACACAGAATTACCAGCAACCCAGCAATGCCACTTCCAGGCCTACAAGAACCAAAAACAGGGACCCAAACAAATACAGTACATGTCCACACACACTCACAGCACACTGGTCACAGCAGCCAAGACGAAGACAGCTCAGATGTCCATCACAGACCCTGGTGTGTCTACACAGTCGGGCAGTAGCCAGCCCAGGAAGGAATGGGGCACTGAGACAGGCTTCAGTGTACATGAACCACGAGGACATCCTGTGAGGGAGAGACACCAGACAAATACTCCTTGGGAACGTGGATGAGTAGTTCCGAGGCTGGTAGGCAAGGAGTAGGGCAGTGGCAGCATGAAAGGTACAGGGTTTCCTTTCAGACACTGTGACAGCTGTATAAGTCTTACAGATGGAAAAGGGGAAATCTAGGTTGTGCTCAGGTCTTTTTCTTCTTTCTTTCTTTTAAAAATATATTTTGCAATTTAATTTGTATTTCCTTGTTAAGCCACCTAATGCTGACCACGCCCACCTGCTTACTTCTGAAATGCACTTCCAGGAGCTGCCTCTGCACTACTCTCTTCTGGACAGTGCTCTCTCCAGGTAGTGCCACGTCACCTGCCTGACCCCAGAACCCCTGAGAACCTCTCTGTGCATGGTCTTTGGGAGGCACAGGCAGTACCTC